AGATATATGTACCTAAATGACGGTCTTTAAACTAACCATGGAGATACGCAAAATAGACGTATGCATATATATATATATATACGTATATTTGTAATAATTTCATCTAATTTATAAATTAGTATGTCACTGAAGCCAGATCATAGTCTCTGATAAAGCAGAACTCGTCATTTCATTTAAGGAAAGAGTGTTACGTAGTACATTGCATATTCATCGGAAACACATGGTATTCGCTAAATTTGGAACATTTTGCTTCTATTTCCATGTCCCTTTTTGTGTTCTGTAAACAACAGATCTTCATTTCAATTGATGCTCTGAAAGATGTAACTTTAGACTTCACAATAAGCAAGTTTTTAGCGCATTCTGCGTGTTTCTCCTCGTTTCGTTTTCATTTCTTTTACGGTTGAAGACAGTGTCTTTCAGGGAGTACACAAACACTTTGCTGAATATAACAATCACATTATATCGAGTGTACAGACGACATCATGTGACCTTCATTCCAACTTATTTGTATGGAATAAGGAAGTGCTGGTGAGTCCTGCTGACGCCTCTGGATCCTCCGTATTCCGATCGCAGAGGTTTATCACAGTTCAATAGGTCATCCCAAACATCGGCTTTCATCGCGAATCTTGAAGTTCGCCGATCATTGCGATGATTCGGGTTTTTTTTCTGAATTACTGTGACGAGTACTGTAGATATCCCAGGCATTATTTTAGTACCTCATCTTACTCCCTACAACGGTTTTCAGGTGAGGTGGCTCACTTGATTTCCATATTTGGCGAGCTTTACGAGACTTAAAATACATATGTCTAGGTGAGGCGGGAGAGTTGTATTAAAAATCATACTCGGCAAAGAAAAGAAATTATATTGAACTTCAGTCCTATTGTCCGCTCGGGTCATATATACATAGTGAGGTTGTGCTATTTTAAAGATATGGTATAGTTAAGTTAACATTAGTGAAAATGTGCATGATTCGTCAACAAAAAAGAAATTAATCGGACACATGAAATCAAAATCAAGAAGATGACTACATGTCATAATCTTAACTCAGAAACAAATTGGTGAATAAGGACAAAATGGGAAAAAAAGGAAGACGGAGACCCTTGGAAAAAGACACAAGGAGAATAAGACCAGGTGTTCCAGATGGTTAAGTGTCTTTTGCTTCATCGACAATATCGCCATAGAAATTGTAATAAATTCAAGTGAGTATAATGTTCCCGAATGAAAACCATGTTTATCACAACAAATCAAGCCACTATGTATCCTGACGGTAAACAAACACAAAACGAGTCATATCGTACATGGGAAAAAATGTCCTTGAATGAGATCATGACGGCGACCAATCATTTCCATATCGCCAACATTCATCTTTTAATACCATTCTATATTTATATCAGGCATCTTTTATTAAATATTGAAAATATTGATGAACCGCGTAGGTTTGAGAAGCAGACTAACATTGGAATATTCACATAAGTGAAATTAATATAAATCATTCTTATGTTACCGCTCAGTAGGAGGCTGTCCGTGTCAGTTACCTTGTCAGTAAAGACCGATGTAAGCAGCTTATACAGATGCATAATAATTTCTCTTGTCTTCTTTTTAAGTTTCCTGGTGGATCTTTAACAGGAGGAGCCACTTGATGGCATGGACGGTAGCCATATTAGACTGGAGCCAATTTTGGTGTTATTTTAAGAGGGACATGGTCAGTAAAAGACTGGAGACAATTTTGGTGTTATTTTAAGAGGGACATGGTCAGTAATAGACTGGAGACAATTTTGGTGTTATTTTAAGAGGGACAATTTTGATGGTTTTGTACTATGGACAGGTCAGTAATGGAGGGATACAAATTGTGGCCTTTCTGCGTCCACTCAGTGGGGAAAATGTTTTAAAGTCAGCGGCAGGTTTATTTTCTGCTCCTAGAAAATTCAGTATTGAAAAAGGAAAATTAAAAGTTCTTACAACGTCATTGTTTTGAGTGAACGTTATTCTTATTGTTTTTATGCTAAATAACAATACATTTGAAAGAATGCAGTTGAAAACAATTGCCAATAAGTGAATGAGTAGGTCACTGTCACATTAAGGTATGACAGCTTCAAAATGTTGACACTTACCATCACTGACCAAGAAGGACTAAACAGCTGTATGATGAAGTTTATATGATGTTTGGATCTACTGTCTCTAACTCTAAATGTCAATTAACAAGTGATATTCATTTGTGTGTCTTTTGTGCAATCTTCACACCAAATAGGTTTTAAAATTACCTTGCATCGCTTCATTTTACATATGGAATTACAGGGATTTAAACGCAGTGATTCCGACTGGCGTAATGTACATTGTGAAGCATCTGTATCTAGCCCTGCAAAAGATTATTTCTAGCAATTAGAAATGATAGCCGAATCAACCAATATGACACATGTCGCTCGAAATCTCGCAAAAAATGCCGTTTACAGAACCAAAAGTAAACGAAACCATGTTAAAGGTTGAAATTGTACAGAAGGCACATATGTTTAGATTAACATTTGATACAAATTTAGAATTAGATACAGTATGTTTGAAATGATAAAATTATTTTGTTACAGTTGTTTCGTCCTTCTAGGACTCTTCAGTGATACTAAAGGACCTAAATGATTAAATCCAGAAGGTGACTGAGGAACATCCAAGCGAAAAAAAACCCCATAATTTGTTGTGTACTGATCATTGCATTTCTTAGGTTTATCGCAGCCTGTGTTAGGGAACAGCCAACCAATTGAAAAATCAGACTTTTGAAATTTGAAAAGGCCTCTGTAAAGTTGAGCCCTAGAAAAAAGTTTGGCCGTCACTGATTGGAAATTATGAAGTTCCAAAACAGATATATGTCCTGATAGGAAATTATTCATTGATAATGTTGATACAAATTTGGTAAGTCTGGTTTGAGCTTTTGTTCGAAATTCTAGTTTTGATGATAAAACCCAGAACACTAACCCTGAAGTCTATGTAAAATCATTTAGTTGGTTGGTCTCTGTTAGATGTTTTATCACGTAGGTTATCGCCATAACATGACAGTGGACAGCTATATAAAGTGTAGTCAAACCCAACATATTGGACAACTATTTCTACATAAAATTTACTTTTGGGTATTCCAGGTATTTTTTAAGGTAGCTATTTTTTGTTGTGTATATTTAATTTTGAAAGCGTCTATTTTTTGTGTACATATTTTAGATGAATCTATTCTTTTGGATATGTTGCTTTCAGATGTGTCTTTTTAACTGGATACCTCTATTTTTTTGAATGCATGTATTTGTTTTTATATATAGTTTGCGGATGTATCTATGTTCGCGATTTTAATTAATCCATACTAGAAAATAAGGAAAAATAGAAATAAAGCCCCTCAAAAATAACGACCTTGACAGTAATTCAAATCAGAACTTAACACCAAATATAGAAAGCAAATTTTTCTTTATTATCCAAAAATCATATTCTTTAACCAACCACAGCATTAGATATGTAAATTATCCACGAATTAAACAGAGCGAGACCCTATTAGTAGGTGTAATTTTATCTATCTGAATCTAGATATCATGAAATATATCATAATTCTACAATCAAATTCTTCAGTAGAAATTCTACAAACCAAGCTTTGTTCAGTGAGAATATCCATATTTCAGAGTTATGTGATTAAAAAATCTTAAATTTGTTTTCGTATGAGATTATTTAATATTTCTCGCCAAGGATCGCAAAATACTACCAAAAACTTCTACGATTTATTTAATGAAAAAATCTCATACGAAATGAAAACTCCTTTAAGATCCCATATAGTCACGTCCCATTACAAAAACTCTTATCGTAAACAATATAAAGAGAAAGAAAATATTCTTATCAAGTTCTATATTCAACACAATTTCTTCAAAGGAAATACTGTATCCTTAGTGTTTAGTTCACTGAAACATGAGAACGGACATTCAGGACATCACCACACACTGCACAATCTTATTGAAAACCCTGTTAAGCACCAATTCATAGTGAACACCGAAACTGAATTCATTTACATACAATTTCAGACAGAAAAAATAAAGAAAAACAATTAAGATGATTATTATGCTGTTAAATAAATGTCACGTGAAAAGTGACCACCACAACCAATTACATATACTTACGTAACTATAGTTACATGGTGATGTAGATTGAAGGTATCGGTATATCGTCACATCTGTTCACCCTTTGACTGACTGTAAGTAATAACCGTTTTCCAATAGCGAAAAAATCTATGACTGAGAAATTCTAGAACACTTTAGATAAAATATCAACCCTAATTTCTTCCATGTAAATAATGATTTGTGTTGTATCCAACTCATATCTACGTTGGTGACCATCGTTTAAAACATGACGAATATAATTATTCTCTCATTCAGCTGCGTCAGTTTCTTGCCGATCCTCTATTTTTGAATTCTCTGTACTAAATGATAAAAACCTTCTATACTACAAAAGACAAGTGTTATCTAAATTACAGACACCATTCAGAGCTGATCAACCACACTAAACGCTTTTTAATTGGCGACGTAATTTGAGTTCAAGCTGGCGGAAAATTAAATCACAAACATAAGTAGTTTGCTTTTGTTATTGTTATAATTTTTCATCTGTATTTACATCAATTTATTACTTTGCCTACTTGTTAGAATTTATATTAAAAATATATTTACATCATTATCTGAAATTGTTAATTTTGCATATTGAACGTCGGCTTTTGATTATCATCGGAATAGCTCTGTTATTGTGGTAGAAACAGGTCATAAAAACTCGTGATCTTACTATATGATACTTTCTATCGCTCTCGTTGGTTATTTCTTAAAAGTAAAGAAAAAAGGGAAATTTTTTACATTCGAAAAACTAACTTGAATAAAAGAAATACCAGAACAACGTGTTGTGCGATTTCTACGTTATCTGCTTGTGTTGATTCTTTCGCACATTATACTAAATCATAACTTCACAGTTAGAAAGTAGGGCTGAAAATTTGTTGATAATAATTACAGAGATACAATTGCTGGAGAGTCGGCTTCCCTCTTCCTTAGAGATACAATTGCTGGAGACTCAGCTTCTCTCTTCCTCACAGATACAATTGCTGGAGACTCGGCTTCCCTCTTTTTCAGAGATACAATTGCTGGAGACTCGGCTTCCCTCTTCCTCACAGATACAATTGCTGGAGACTCGGCTTCCCTTTTCCTCACAGATACAATTGCTGGAGACTCGGCTTCCCTCTTCCTCACAGATACAATTGCTGGAGAGTCGACTTCCCTCTTCCTAAGAGATACAATTGCCGGAGACTCCGCTTCCCTCTTCTTCAGAGACACAATTGCTGGAGACTCGGCTTCCCTCTTTTTCAGAGATACAATTGCTGGAGAGTCGGCTTCCCTCTTCCTTAGAGATACAATTGCTGGAGACTCGGCTTCCCTCTTCCTCACAGATACAATTGCTGGAGACTCGGCTTCCCTCTTCTTCAGAGACACAATTGCCGGAGACTCCGCTTCCCTCTTCTTCAGAGACACAATTGCTGGAGAGTCGGCTTCCCTCTTCCTCACAGATACAATTGCCGGAGAGTCGGCTTCCCTCTTCCTTACAGATACAATTGCCGGAGAGTCGGCTTCCCTCTTCCTTAGAGATACAATTGCTGGAGAGTCGGCTTCCCTCTTTCTCACAGATACAATTGCTGGAGAGTCGGCTTCCCTCTTCTTCACAGATACAATTGCTGGAGAGTCGGCTTCCCTCTTCCTCACAGATACAATTGCTGGAGAGTCGGCTTCCCTCTTCTTCACAGATACAATTGCTGGAGAGTCGGCTTCCCTCTTCTTCACCGATACAATTGCTGGAGACTCCGCTTCCCTCTTCTTCAGAGACACAATTGCTGGAGACTCGGCTTCCCTCTTCTTCAGAGACACAATTGCTGGAGACTCGGCTTCCCTCTTCTTCAGAGATACAATTGCTTCTCTTTTCTTCAGAGACACAATTGCTGGAGACTCGGCTTCCCTCTTCTTCAGAGATACAATTGCTGGAGAGTCGGCTTCCCTCTTCTTCACCGATACAATTGCTGGAGACCCGGCTTCCCTCTTCTTCAGAGACACAATTGCTGGAGACTCGGCTTCCCTTTTCTTCAGAGACACAATTGCTGGAGACTCGGCTTCCCTCTTCTTCAGAGATACAATTGCTGGAGAGTCGGCTTCCCTCTTCTTCACAGATACAATTGCTGGAGAGTCGGCTTCCCTCTTCCTCACAGATACAATTGCTGGAGAGTCGGCTTCCCTCTTCTTCAGAGATACAATTGCTGGAGAGTCGGCTTCCCTCTTCCTCACCGATACAATTGCCGGAGACTCCGCTTCCCTCTTCCTCACCGATACAATTGCCGGAGACTCCGCTTCCCTCTTCTTCAGAGACACAATTGCTGGAGAGTCGGCTTCCCTCTTCTTCAGAGACACAATTGCCGGAGACTCCGCTTCCCTCTTCTTCAGAGACACAATTGCTGGAGACTCGGCTTCCCTTTTCTTCAGAGACACAATTGCCGGAGAGTCGGCTTCCCTCTTCCTCAAAGACACAATTGCCGGAGACTCCGCTTCCCTCTTCTTCAGAGACACAATTGCCGGAGACTCCGCTTCCCTCTTCTTCAGAGACACAATTGCTGGAGAGTCTGCTTCCCTCTTCCTCAAAGATACAATTGCCGGAGAGTCGGCTTCCCTCTTCCTTAGAGATACAATTGCCGGAGACTCCGCTTCCCTCTTCTTCAGAGACACAATTGCTGGAGAGTCGGCTTCCCTCTTCTTCAGAGACACAATTGCCGGAGACTCCGCTTCCCTCTTCTTCAGAGACACAATTGCTGGAGAGTCGGCTTCCCTCTTCCTCAAAGACACAATTGCCGGAGACTCCGCTTCCCTCTTCTTCAGAGACACAATTGCTGGAGAGTCGGCTTCCCTCTTCCTCAAAGACACAATTGCCGGAGACTCCGCTTCCCTTTTCTTCAGAGACACAATTGCCGGAGAGTCGGCTTCCCTCTTCTTCAGAGATACAATTGCCGGAGACTCCGCTTCCCTCTTCTTCAGAGACACAATTGCTGGAGACTCGGCTTCCCTTTTCTTCAGAGATACAATTGCCGGAGAGTCGGCTTCCCTCTTCCTCAAAGACACAATTGCCGGAGACTCCGCTTCCCTCTTCTTCAGAGATACAATTGCTGGAGACTCGGCTTCCCTCTTCCTCAAAGATACAATTGCTGGAGACTCGGCTTCCCTTTTCTTCAGAGACACAATTGCTGGAGACTCGGCCTCTCGCTTCTTCAGAGATGCACCCTGAGGGGCTGTTAACGCTATTGAAAATAAATCACAGACTGTAATTTCATTGCAATTAAAATATGTTTCAAACTTGATCAGACAATAATTAAATTGAATGATTGAATTATTTGGCTCTATCAGACTGACATTATGTTAAATAAGAATGTAAGAGTAAGCTTACCTAGATTAATCAAACACAGCATGACCACTATTGAAATCCACTGTCTCATATTTGATGTTTCTGAAACAATACAAAACCTAATGATATATCACGTGTTGGAATTATGATTATACTACATCATCAGTGCACAATCAAACAATAATATGAATTTATACAACCTGACAATGCGTTAGATAACAGACTGGTAATGCCCAACGTGACCCCGTTTTCTGCTTGTCCAACCCAACCCCACGTGGTCTCATACATAATACTTAATACCGTCTCGTTTTACACCATATTTAAGTGTATGATTCACTACAGTTTTGACGTTTTCTAATCATAAGAGATATTCGGCTATGAAAACAAATCCTATTTACATGTGAAAAACACTCGTTTACTGTTACACAACATCATGAAGTAAATAGAATTCACGACGATGATTTGTTAAGATGATAGCTACTATATCTTATAAAGTGCATGTTGTCATTGCTATCATGTTGCTGATGTACTATTTTACAGTTGTTACATGAGTTTTTCTTTTCGCCTGGTCTAATGACATATGTCTGTAGCTATGAGATTTAGTCGATCTTGTATTCTTTCCTATAGAATTAAAGCTATTTGAAAGGTTAAATGAATGCCTCATATTCGAGGAAACATTCATCTATGCCCACGAAATAATAATAATATGCATTATCCATATAGAGCTCTATACTGCTAAAATGTCACCTATAAAAAAAACTCTTTACGAGCCATGTTTAAAAAAAACTTATTTCTACTATAAAATATACAAAAGTCATCACGTATACATCTATGGTAATACAAAGAAGTATCGAATAAATTTCGGAAGAGTCAAATACTAGCACAAACTAATTAAAACACAGTTAAAACACTGTCTAGATCACATGCACTTTTGAAGAGATGCGTTTTCAGAGTGAGAACTTGGCAGCTGATAGCAGGGATCTTACCACTGTGATACCGTTATGTTATTTATTCTAGACTCATAAAATGTAGAGATTAAAATGTCAATGTTTCTTTCAAAAAAGAATTATTATTATTATAAAGTATTATTTATGCTTATAGAATTTAAAATGGCAGTTTAACACAAGGGGAAATAATCCAGTGTATTTCGACTTGTCTTAGTCGCCTCTTGGGCTTCAATGTTTAGGTCCTTAATAATAATGAAGAGAGGAATAAGGCCGAAACTTTTGTAATGTGGAGTTTGATTCACTATTTGGCTCTATGTAACCTTTCCTTTTCTTATGTATGTTCCATCATAGCCGCCTGTGTGGGTATACATTCATTTGTATACATGGAACACAGTTTCACTTAAAATTCAATAGATTAAGAAAACCTAATAAAACCATGTTTAGAATAATAAATTATGTAGCAATATTTGGTGAGATTTTGAAGCTATTTGGTTCATTTGCAACTATATTTATTTCTACTGGGCACTATGGGTTACGTTCCCTTAGCGCTAGTCGAGGCGTGGGCACGTGAGCACACAGGTAAGAATGGGGTCAGTCATGGATGAGTGATTTTATAGACTTGGACTTGGAGACCCGTGTAGCCTTGGTTATATAGGTATCTATTGTAGCCTTCATATATGTTACACATCTGCTAGTCCTTAATAGTACGGTGCATATCGGGCTCATTTTGAATTTAAATCCCTGATAGCATAAATTCAGGCCAACAATATCTGTTCAATAAAACACATCACATTTTATTATGTGAGTGCATATAGTCAGTTATTTCAAAGGACGCGCCAGTAAAACCCCTGTAGTTTATCTGTACAGGTGTGAACTATAGTCATCTCTTTAGTGGGCTAATTTCTCGTCGTCCGATTCTATGTCCTTTATGATTTCATACACTACTACAGTCAATATACGAAGAAATCATCTGACACCCCTGACTTTAGTTAAAACAAATAAAACTGCGAGAAGATCTAGAATTTGAAAATACATTTGAACAGAACAATTGAATATTATTGAAGCAATTAAAATTTGAAAATTAACAACTGAAAATTCTTGATCAAGGATTCGGATCGGAAGGGATCTACAACATCTACTGATAACTATATCTTAAATTAACACAGTACATTAACGAAAAAAAGAAAAATGATTAGAAATCGATTAACCACAGTCACTTGTAAAATTACATTTTCTCTACTATGGCAATACTTATATACAATGCAAATACATAGTACATCTCTAATTAATTGAACTCGTACATTTTATTTTTCACTAAGATTTATGACTAACGTTTATAAATAGCAGTCAATAAGTTAATAGTTTTGTTTACAAAATGATAGAACAATGAGAGTAATACAGCAGAAATACAAATAAAATTTCCTTTCTGACTGTATGAGATTTTAGATGGTTCATTGAGAGACAATCTCTCTACATGTATAATAAATATGATGACGTGCGGCACTGTGGAAACAAAACACTTTAAATTATGAGTGTATCAAACTATTCAGTCTGTATCTTATACACATATACGTGTTTGACCATAAATTTAGCTGTACTCTTATATATTTAGAAAATAGATAAACCTTATTCCACATTTATCTATGTCATTTTAAAATGTATATCAGCTACGATAGAATCGCACAATTGTGCGATAGAACATGTGCGGTAGCTTATTTTGCCCTGTTTCCCTATCTTGTGGGAAATTCTGAATAACTAGCTAGAACTACTAGTAGAGAAAATAAACAGGGTCGTTATTCAATACAAATGTTGATAAATGAAAGTTGAAAAAAAAACCCTTGTATATCTTAATCACTTAAAAAACAATTGTAATCAATTGTGAAAATTAAGAAAGCAATTTTTTTTCTTACCTCTTCACGTGGATGCAGCTGATACAGTTGTTGCCTTAAAGAGGAGCTTTACAGTTGGTAAATAAGAGAGGATTTACTGATTAAACCCCGTTCGGAGTCAGCTTTTATAGGAGAATATCAAAAACATGTCGTCTGGAGTTGGGGACAACAATTATTCATATCATTTCGTAGAACTCGTAAAGTTTCACCGCACCCCCATTAATTCGGCTGCACAATAACAACAGTATAATTAACGTCAGGGCTAAAGACTCCCTGTCAACTCATCGTACAAATGACAGATAACGACCTCTCCAAGAAACCGGATACTAAATTTTAGAAATGTGACACGGACACAAGGCACCGATTTCGCAATCTCGCTGAAATCGTTTCCAAGAACTCTGCTAAGAACTGTGTCAATACCTGGTACCTGGGCTTCGAAGGTCTAACATGACTTCTATCAAAAGTTTTAAGTTGTGCATACATCAAAGAAGCTCAATAAAATTCTTGTAATGGCGAATTTATTTCTTTTAGACACGGTTCTTTATTGGATCTAGTGTCTGACTGTGTACATGTTGCTGATTTATAGATTAACAAATTTCTGTACAAAGAAAATACGGTATTTTTACAACACACAAAGATCCATTATACTTCTATATTTGCTAGCTAAATTTCAACTTAAATCTGTTTTTAAGAAAAAAAATTCACTTAAATACGAGTTACGTTATGTTATGAATGCACCATGAATTATGAAGTTCTAATCGATAATGGTTTTATGAATACACATTTAGAATTAGATTTTGTCCACGTTGTGAGTATTGCAATAACTTTTCCATACAAAGTGCGATTTTGTCAACATTGTGAGTATTTGAATACCTTTACTATACAACGTGCGATTTTGTCAACATTGTGAGTATTTGAATATCTTTACCATGGAAAGTGCGATTTTGTCCACGTTGTGAGTATTTGAACACCTTTACTCTACAAAGTGCGATTTTGTCCACGTTGTGAGTATTGGGATTCCTTTACTATACAAAGTGCGATTTTGTCCACGTTGTGAGTATTTGAATACCTTTACTATACAATGTGCGATTTTGTCCATGTTGTGAGTTTTTGAATATCTTTACCATAGAAACTGCGATTTTGTCCACGTTGTGAGTATTTGAATACCTTTACTCTACAAAGTGCGATTTTGTCCATGTTGTGAGTTTTTGAATATCTTTACCATAGAAACTGCGATTTTGTCCACGTTGTGAGTATTTGAATACCTTTACTATACAATGTGCGATTTTGTCCATGTTGTGAGTATTTGGATTCCTTTACTATACAAAGTGCGATTTTGTCCACGTTGTGAGTATTTGAATACCTTTACTATACAATGTGCGATTTTGTCCACGTTGTGATTATTTGAATACCTTTACTATACAATGTGCGATTTTGTCCATGTTGTGAGTTTTTGAATATCTTTACCATAGAAACTGCGATTTTGTCCACGTTGTGAGTATTTGAATACCTTTACTATACAATGTGCGATTTTGTCCATGTTGTGAGTTTTTGAATATCTTTACCATAGAAACTGCGATTTTGTCCACGTTGTGAGTATTTGAATACCTTTACTATGCAATGTGCGATTTTGTCCATGTTGTGAGTATTTGAATACCTTTACTATACAATGTGCGATTTAATCCATGTTGTGAGTTTTTGAATATCTTTACCATAGAAACTGCGATTTTGTCCACGTTGTGAGTATTTGAATACCTTTACTCTACAAAGTGCGATTTTGTCCACGTTGTGAGTATTGGGATTCCTTTACTATACAAAGTGCGATTTTGTCCACGTTGTGAGTATTTGAATACCTTTGCTATACAATGTGCGATTTTGTCCATGTTGTGAGTATTTGAATACCTTTACCATGCAAAGTGCGATTTTGTCTATGTAAAGGATACTGGACGTAAACATTAACATGGACTGTTTTTTCTGGTTTTACCCTTCCAGACAGATCTATATATAGCCTGTGGAATGATCATCTCCACGGTTAAAGAAAGGAATATCAGAATATGCAGATTTCTTTACCATTTATGCATTTTTCCTTTATTCATTCAAACAAATTTCCCCTTTGATGGAAAGAATTTAAGAGAAAATAGGTTCGATTTTCACAAACAAAATTAGATAAGACAGAAATGAAATTCTAAAATCTAAAAGCTGATCAACAGTTTAAAGAGGAAATAAAACTTTAGAAAATTTAAGTCTGAACAGGTAGTATTTTTCAAAACAGTGGTACTATTTGTCTGTAAAATATGACAGAACGAGTTTCTAAATATGTACGAATAACAAAATACAGGAAAAACGTCAAACCATAACGTGAAAACACAAGGTCACCAATAACAAACAATGATAGATGGTAATAAATTATTGGTAAGTTGGCACTCCCTCTACAAGACGCAATAAAATTATATTGGTTTACCTCTTTAATAAGCATAAAGGAATATTAATGACCATTTGATAACTATCCGCAGAATATACATACATGTATACCTAGAGAATATTGCATAATATCAAAATGTAATCTGAATAATTTAATTATAATATATCATATATAATTATTTGATTTCTTAACTTGTGTATTTTATAAAAGTTCTCATTCTGAAAAACTACTAACTTGTTTTGAAAAAAAACCCCGAACTTTTAAACAACTTGGATATTTAATCGAATCTAAGTTTCCAACTTTTAGTTACATTGAAAAACAATCTGTGGTATACATACATGCATCTTACAAATTGTGTCTTTCAAACAAAATTGTTTTCTCAAATGTTTATTTGAACTTTAATGCACGGTGCGACAAAACAATTAAACACAAAATAACAAAATTATTATCAAAAAACCAGTCGGACAAGCGTATAAATCATTAAAGATATTTTTATGTCATCTAATTAATTCTGTTTGCATTGGACGTGTCCTGGTTTGCAAATTAATGGCGTGTCATTTTGGACAAACGTAAATAAAATTTGACCGCTCTAACAGGTAAACCTAGCATGTGTTGAAGTGCAGATACGTGACAACGTCCCAGCGAAATGTTCCGGAAAAAGTATTTTTAAATTTTCCACGAAAACGTTACGCCGTGAATATGATAGTTCATCTTGATGTAGTTGACATAACTTTTTAGCTGTTTATACAAATATTTCGAAATTCATTAAAATCTGATTTCTAAGTTGAGTACTAATTTGTTCAATTTGTTTACTACATATTTTGACGTTTTAGCCCAGCAACAGTGAAGTGTGGTTTTTGAAAGTGTATGATATAAGACATTGAAAAAAGATTTAAAAAATATAAATAAGATAAAGATTTTTTGATTTTTTTTTCACTGAATATAAGTTTTGAAGGGATTGTTATTTCATTATGGCACGTTTTCCCTCTGTATTTTTTTTTAATTTTTCCGTGCTATTGTTGTTATTCGTTTCGTGTATGTTTTTTTTTTTTAATTTTACGTTTTAAAATGGTAGCAAAAATGTCCTTCCGTCCTTAGACCCTTTCGATTATTTCAAGAAGGCAAAATATCTTTAAAAAATCAATTCTAAGTGACAAATTAATTTTCAATCATCCCATAAGCTTCTTACATAAACAAATACAACAGCCAATGTGTTTTGGAGGGCAGCGTATGTAAACCAGTTAAAATGGTTAACCATTAGCAATATTTATGGGATGGGACCTATGGTGCTTACATGTCGCATTTTATTCAATATTGAAGCTTATTTCCTGTTTTCGTGCAGCATTTTGGCAACTGACATGAAAAGGCAGTGTTTCGAAAATGCTTGTCGATGAAGATTTACAAATTCATTGAGAAGTATTCTATGTGTGAAACGAAGCTAAACGTGTTTAATGCTCTATGGTATACCTAATGGTTGCGTTTCTTTTTACCTTGTTCTCATTAAGGAACGTAACACTGCGTGTTTGGATTGATCAGGATTTACATGGCGGGTGTCATAGATGAAACAGAAGACGCTTACTATTCCGGAACAAATGGTCTTATTCTTGTACTTTTTCAGGAGCCTCCGTTGAGTCTTCCTTTTATTCCTAGTTTTCCATGCGTTCATTGATTTTGTGTTGTATCTATGATTTCGTTAACAAATATGTATTTTTTTTATATTGTTTTGCTCCTTTCTTCACTGCGAAATTTCGTGACCTGAGCAATAGAGTTAATAAACAATGCGTGTATTATAAACAGATACAAATGGCATTTCTTATACCGAACGCAGTCAATCAAAACATTTTCATAACAACAATGGAATATTTCTGTTTAGTGGTACGAGGGGCGTGTCAAATTTTATTTCTAAGAAAACAGCTTCCAAAACAATATCATGTCCATGATAATAAGGGCAAAGGGGAGGAGCTAGCTTTATCAGTACAAGTTTTCTCTGTGTGACAACGCATCAGTAATCAGATTACGACAAGATGCTCACCAGTGTTGTTGTGTTCGTGGTGTCTGTGTGTGCTGGTTTAGTAATAGGTCTAACTACAACACGTACAGATGACCAGCATAACATTAAACATGAAGTTTATTACAAGCATATGAAATTACCACTGAGTACTTTTGTCGGAGAAAAGGTAAGGTCACCGACGGATATCGATATAGACCTTAATCCGTGGTTCACCATCACCGTTCTGTTTCCTTATTATTTATCCTTTGACTAAATATTGCAACTTATTTAATCTTATTTAATATAGAGAAATTTAGACACGAGTATTGAAGAAATGCATGATATTGGTTCTGAATCTTCTGAATTTTTTTTTACAGAAAATTGAATATGGCTGTTCGGCTTTCCCGCTCAAAGCAGACGAATATATAAGTAAGTAATACTAGTATTCAATACGTTACTGTGACACATCCTTAATAGTTCACATATCTATATTGTTGTTGATTTTCTTGACCTCACGTTCGATGATCAATCACATAATTGATATAGATATAGGGAGTTATTATGGTACATCGTCTACATCACCTGATTGGAATATTGCTACAAATCCTCCTTATGTACAAATAAGCCTTATACACAAGTCTCGTGAGAAAATATATCGTTCGTTTCGCTTTATTTCATTTCATGTTATTTCATGTGGCAACTTTATATAAAGCTTGCTTGCTTGGCTTAGTGGTAGAACTCGGCTTATTATGCCGGAGTTCTATGTCCGATTTCTGTCGGGGGACCCAGCAGAAGTGTGTATTTTCCCCTGTTTTTTTTTCCATTTTGTACAATAAAACAAATCAAACAACTGTGACCAATGATTATATACACTTTTCTTTTTTTACCGATGTTGTTCTTTACGTTTCTGTCTTCCTCACCTATCTCTTGGTATGGTTATTTACAGCTGAATATTTGCCAATCGGAAAACGTAACGATTTGTACCACATCACCGTGAGTGTGTGTGACACTCCCTACGATAAGTCGCCTATTTGGTAAGATGGAAAAAGTTACAATCATAGAAATAAAGATAAAATCACCAACACTGATATAATATATCCATGTTAAGGATGGTAGTGGTAGTATGCACATGTATGGCTAAAATCAGATTCCTGTTTAACGAAAAGAAAATTAATTATACAATATTTATAGATATTAATGAGAATCGACGTAATAACGTTATTTATAACGTATTACAATGTTGTTTTATTTTATTCCTTGCTCGCGTTTTATATCTAAATGAAGGAAAGTCAGTGCTTTGATATTGCCTGTTTTACACTGTCAAATTTATGTTTTATCAGACCAGACACTTCTTTTTACATATATGTATTTACGCATTTGTTTGAAGTAGGACAGAACATGATATTAAATTCATCAATTGAAAAAACATTCTGAATAAAAGGTAAGACAAAGCTATGATTATATAGATAATTATAGACAGACAATTACAACAAACTAATTTTCAATGAATGTACCACACCCTTACTGTAGATAATTATGACAATAAGATAAATAGAAGAAAATGAATTTAATGCATAACTGGTATATGTATTTTAGGGAATGCATCAACCCGAGTCATGTTTGTAAAAATTCGAAAAGAGAATTCCTGTATTCCTGGACGAATGGTGCCCCGGGATGGACTTTACCTGAAGGTTAGTCTCTAATCAACTGAAAATCATATTGTAATCAGTCATTCGGTTTAGCCTCCACAGAAATCTTGAAGTCCTTGTCAACAGACTCTTAATTCTTACTCAAATTCGATTAAACTAGGGGATATGAAAGAGGATATGAATAAAAACAGATTTCCATGAAGGCTCTTGGAAACTAACAAAGGGATTCGGTAGGTAAGCGTCTGCTTCTGCATCGACGACACCCATCATGTAAATCCTAGTCACCCCAAGTAAGGGATCAATGCCATATTCCCAACTGAGAACAAGAGAACCATAGGGGCGTACCACTGTATATCAAACATTTTCAGCTCCATTTCTCAATAGCATTGTCTCCACCCCAGTATGGTATATCTTCATCAGAAAACAATTGTTATTTGACTCTTTAATCTTTCATCTATTTATTTACATACATACTGAAGTCACATTGTATGTGTCCTCACAGGTACGGGCATATATACTGGTAATAGATCCAAATACGTAATAATGCAAGTCCACGGAAGAGACGACATCTCAGGTAGGTGCAGTCTTCGATCGTTTGATACAGCTTACTATGTGAGAGAGAGACAAGGAGATTTGTTATTCCTGCATCACTGTCAATAAAAAGTTAACGAACTTTAATCCTGATTGGAAATCTTACATATTTTTTAGGTGATTATCAAACTTGTATACGTCTCCGGATACACAGTAAAACAGTAACAGAGTATAGACCAAGCAATCTGTTATTCATATCATTAACAGTTCAATATTCAATGAAAAAAAATTTGTTTGCAAATGAGCCATTGGTTTTGTTATTCGCAAGATGAATTATAATGACATATCAGTTTTCATATATTTCCTTCTACTGACGTATGTAGTGCATGTTTTTCCCCTGATATCAATTTACTAATATACGTTCATATCTGTTATGTTTGAGTTCCAAGTCTATATATCATTTTTATTCTCCCTGTCAGATGAACGTGTCAAAGACTTTGCACACATGCGTTTGAAAATCCAAACCACCAGGTATATATAAGAATCACTGTAATGCAAAAATCAACAGGTCAAAACAACTTTGAGAGGAATTCATAATAATTTCAATAGCCTAGATAAACTGTAAGTCTTTACGATATTTATCAAGTGTGAAAGATTACCTTTATTGTTATTATTAATTATAATATTTATTAGGAACATTGACAAATGTATTGTCTTTTATATACCAGACCTCAAGTAGCAGCTGCTGTTAGCATGTACACCGGATACGGTTATATTCCTCCCCATGTAGATAGTAAGTATATGTAGGTAATGTTTGTATACCTATATTGGTGTCTTTTGTTATATATATCATCTCATGACGTTATAATCATTATGTCATTTTCTAATTATTTACTAAGGAGAATGCTTCGATTTTTTAAGTCAGTCAAAAGACGTCTTTGCTGTAGTCGATATATTATTTGAAAGAGTATAAATGTATTTAAAAAACTACACGTAGTTATATTTAGAATGAGAAATTAGGATGAGTTACTATTCTTGAGACTATAATGTTTTACTTGTAGATTTCACAGTTGATACAGCATGTGTATGGAACAAGACGACACCTGTGCCCATCCTAGCTTACGGAATACATACACACACCAGGGGTCAGTACACAAATGCTGAGTGACCTTGTCATAATTGTCAAGCATGCATACATGATTTCATTACTTATATTAATACAGAAGATGATATCATTCTCAGACCACTTCAGTAAAGTTAATTCTGAATTGAGATCACCTGACATTTTGTCACATATCCATAACCCATCATATCTTTCTTTTGAACTTGTCATTGTATCTTTATTTCATTTTCTTTCTTCTCATTTTTTAAAAAAAAATCTTGTTTTGTTTTTGTTTCTCGCATATCTTTTGATTTCATGAAAATTATTCTTGGCTATGGTTATAAATGTACTAGTGAGGTTCTACAAACATATTCAAATCGAAAAAAGGGCTCATTTTGATTTTATTGGATACAATGTAAACGACATCTATAATTGTGATCTCTTTTTTATTAGGTTTGGCGCTATCTGGTTACATTGTCCGAGATGGTCAGTGGATCGAGATTGGACGCGGTGACCCATTATATCCATTGGTGAGTAAAGTCACCTTTTCTCTTTCATAACACCAACTACAACTGTCAAAATAAATCATGCATGGTAGAATATTTAGGTTGATGAAAACCTATGATAAAAATCTCATCTGTAAACAACCTTCTTTCCAAAGACTTAACCGATATTTAACATGGGTTAGTAAGATAACTCTTATACAATATGAATATTAAGTATCAAATTAAACACAGCAGGATTTCTTAGGTAATATCGTTTGAAATAGTAGGCACTTTCTAAGCATTGTTTTTCATTAGGAGATGGAAATCGTACTCAATGTCGTTTTCATTACAAAACGTACAAATCCTCTGGAGATATCTCTTATTCATTAGTTGCATTAATTGATATATTCGTTTTGTTCCACTGTAAAGTAAACGACGAAAGGTCATGGAGTACGAGATACCTTCACTTCAGATTTTTGTGTTAGTCTTTATACTTGTTTATTCACGAATGTTTCTAAATAATATTTTAATTTTATGATACAATTGTGGTAACGCACAACGCAAAAGATAATACGCGCACATCGGGCTTATATCACGTGCATACCGTCCTCACATCGTCCGCACACATCCGCAATACAGTATCTAGCGCACAGCTGTGCGATAGGATCGCACATTTCGACTTGGTAAAATGTCTATTATACTGTATTGAAATTAAATGGAAAACTCACCAATTTATAACTAAATAGCGAACAAAAGCGTTTTCAAATTGATCAGTGATTATCAAGGTCTTTTTTTAATTCGACAGTTATTCTATCGTATTGTTTCATTCCTCAGAGAATGGTGAGTGGTGTGCTGCGGATATATACGTGAAAGGTCCTGTTCCGTACCGGCTAGGTCTTCCATGTAGTGTACATGTTTTGTTTACAAAACGATATTTTTAATACAGATGCTTTCCTGACGGTATAAGATTTCAGATGATCCGTTACAACTTGACACTGCTGATAGACCTTAGGTCTGCCTTCAAGCCACTCTTTCATTCATTCGAATGGTGGCACGGTTTACGAATTGCAAGGCACTTATCAATTATGTGTCGTTTGTACAGTCTTCTTGTTCTTATTGGTATTGACAGCTAATTATTTATGAATATAATTAACCCGTTTTGTCGCTATTCCAGACAATGTTTGACATCACAGATCGAAAGATGCGGATTCTGCCTGGAGATATTATCGTAAGTATTGGATGTTTATATTCAAAGCTGAAAAAATTATTGAATAACCTAGTCTCATTTTTATCGTTTTAAAACTTATTAAATATCATTATTGCATTTGTTTCTTTTTATTTATTTTTCTCATTGATCTGTTTTATTAATTTACATGTTCGTTCGTTTATTTATTTATTCATTGATTCATCTAATAACTGTTTTATATGAGAAGCACATCTTTTGAGAGGACATGCATCAACTCAATTGTTCTTATTTTGATGAGTCGACAGCGACCACAATTACCGCGAATTACTTGACAGCAAATTAAATGTCTGAACATCATGGATATGCATTTGATATGTATGTTGTATAATGTTTATCAGTTATAGGTATTGTGCATTTCAGGCAACCAGATGCACATACCGGAATACTGACAACACACGAGTCTCCATGGGGTAAGCATACCATTAGGAAGAGTAAAATTAGAGTGAAAGATTGAAAATCGACGAACCGTAAAATGTTTACATGACACCGCTTAAATTTTACCTTATTCATGTTAATGTTCATGATGGTATATCAATAAGGCTGTAAATCAGAATTTGTACATTCATTGAGGACAACTATCTATAGAGAAATATCGTAAAGTTATGTATATGCCTGTTTTGAGCACATACTTTTCCTATTTGGTAAATGGTCGTTTCACGTGATATAAGACTGCTATAAATATATAGAATTAGTGTTGTTGCTTCCTTGATGATCAAGGTATATTCGTAGATTACTTTTCGTAGTTTTGTGGTTGTAAACCTGATTTACATGGCAATGTCTTCGATAAAACAAAAGGCGCTTTCCCTTGTGAAACATCAAACCTTACTCTTATTTTACCGTTCCAATTCCTCCGTTTAAATCTTCTCTTTGTCCATATCTTGTCCTCTCTTTTGTCTATTTGATTTTTTCAACACGTCGGTTGCTTTTGTAATTTTGTATATAACTGTTGTATATTGGTGACGGACCAGTATGTGTTTTAGCTATATACTAATATCAGTTTATACATGACTACTATCATTTTGTAGAGGACAAGTGTAAATATGTAGATGGGAAGAAAAGAATGTAGAGGACTAGCGTACATTTCTAATGGACTACAGAGAACCTTTCCAAGGGGCAAGTTTAGATACAGAAATGTCTTTGAAAATCCCCTGAAATATTACCATTATTTGTCTTTCGCTGTTCTTTAAAGGTTCACCCACGTCAGAGAGATGTGTAATTATTTCGTTTACTACGGAGTAACTCCTGACAAAATTGCTTCGACCAAAGCCATCGCATGTGGCGGAAATGCACAGGGGACAGGCTGGGACCAACTGTTTGACAACATTCCAGCAGACGCTAGTGATCCTACTGGAGACACGGAACAATCCCGTTATGTCAAAAAGTATCATCTTACCAAAAATTACTGAAGGGTTGTCCTTTGGTTTCTCCTGATTATAGATGGTAGTCACCGATAAATGAAATTCAGAATTTCACAAATAATTATAAAAATAAATCCATTATCTTATTTCTGTGCTACCGATTTGTTTTTACTAGTAAATATGTTTTAATTTAACGTGTATTGTGTAATTTAGTTCAAGTCTATAACTTCAGTGATGCGAACACGATTATCATCATTTTGACCTCATTGATCCTTGAACCCAATGCTCTCCGAAGACATACGTATCTAATGGATCTTAAGTATGCTTGAATTTGTAAAATATTCTGTTCACAATATATCACTTATTTTAATAAGTAACCTTTTATGTTTTAAGAACAAGCAAAACTTACGGTTTATTTAAATTGTAAACCTGCATACCGGAGAGAATATCTTTTTATTAAATGACTATAAGATGAAAAAAAATGAAAACAAAACTGAAATATATCATTTGTCTATCAGATGAAACTAGGAAACAAAACAATTACTGAGTGTAATTAATAGTTTTTTTAAAGACAAATCATAAATATATGCAATATGAAAAGAACAAAAATATAGAGACTTGTATACAAAAGAAATAAATGTAATATATAGCAAAAAATGATAATATGTATTAACAATGATAATATTTACTAGCGACCGTTCGAGTAAACTTAAGTTCTGCAAGTACACATCTTAATATTTTATCCTAGCGTCATATCCATAATTTCACTGTTCAATTATTAAACATGTTTACATATGTATATGTCAAGGTATTGCTCTGCACAGCAGTAAAACGCACATGAGATTTCATAAACATTGTGGTAGATCCCTTATTCTGTATAGCTTATCTTTTTTCTTACTACAGACGTACCGTTCTCTTTTTATTTGGTGTGATTTCAAGAAATGCCAAATTTGTTATAAGTAGAAATATGCATGCTGTTGATAAAATGATTCCTTAGCTAAAAGGTTCCGACGGACGGACGGAAACAAAGTACCCCTGATTTACCGACAGGTGGCTATAGACTATCATCCAAATGTTGTATTACATATTTAATAAATTAAATTTGTGGAAACTGCCGTGTTGAACTTAGGCATAAAACCAAGTAGACACAAGGACATTAAATGACCACGCCTTCTAAACATTCTTAAAAGATTACACATTAAAAATCAAATGTATAAGTATGCAACACAACAGATCCCATTAATATATACAACTATCTAGTTTGATAGTTTAAAGTTGATATATAACAAGGACATTGATCTTGACAAAATCGTTCGAGTTAATGTTCCTGCGAGTTAAACTTCCGAAATATTGCATAACATTCCAAAAACGTTGTAAATCTAAAGAACACAGAAAATGGTAAAAAAATTGAATATACTAAATTCAAAAGATATTGCGGAAAGTTACTGTGGTGCAATAGCTGTGTACGGGAAAATTCAGATATAAAGAAACTGTCCGTAAACCAGAAAATAAAGTTGTTTATCATTGTGAATATCAGAACTGATTCAAGTAAGTTTATGTTTGATCGGGGGTCAGTTTTCCTAAATCGGTTCGCATGTAACAGAAACACCACTTGAAGGTAGTCTTGGAATACGCTGAAGGCATTGGTGAACAGGATGATTTTGGTATTTTGATCGTCGGTGACGTCAGCACCAATAGCGATGCTGATATGTGCTAAGAATAAACCAAACGCCGACAGCAAATACAAATATTCCCGAGACTTCAGGCCTTTCGGTGAACTATCAGGAGTACAGTAATGAGCCAAACAATAGAAACCAGCAAACGTTGCAAGCGCCATCATCACTTTCAATGTTAACTCATATACTTGCGCAATATACAGTATGACGTTTCCATCCCCTATATCTAGAACGAGGACAATGTAACACACAACAAGTCCTAGCCCTGTTGTTATGCTCATTGCCAGTGAAAGTATTTGTACTAATGTCCGCCTGCCTCTATTTGCCGGATGTTCGATGACATTGAATCCATGCAGAAGGGACGTCTGCTCCGATTCCTGTACGTCGTTTATTCCTATATACGTTGGTGATTCATCTTGAGGATTCGCTTCTTGTTTCGGTGACCAAATCTCAAGAAGTATTGTACTGAACAGAAAAACATACTCAACGAAAGCTGGTCTTAGAAAGGGTAATGACTTTTCTAGAAGCAATGTCATTGTACTGTTGTTTCCTAAACAGGATATCAAGTCAATGTCATCTTCGACTTCTATCAAAAATGATCTGGTGTTTTTCATTTGATAGACATACAAGATCACTGATAGATTACAAGTTAAAATCAAAAACATAGCGTAATTCACTAGTGAGCTCTGTTTCAGCTCGAACGGAGAAAAATAAGAGACGAAAACCATTTCTGAGAATAAAGCTAGGATCAATGTGATATTGAAAACTAATAAAATATTCCAATAAATTCCACCAGCGAAATTCACGGAACATTCAATCAGTTTTCCTATGAATAACGCACAAGATAATCCCGAGGACAGGCCGAAGATCCACATGAAAACCACCTGAAGTTTTCTGGTATTCCTGTCATTTCTAGCAGCGACAACTGATTGAAGGCCATATTTCCGTACTTTGTTTCCAATGATACAGAAGATGGATAATGCAGATATCATAATCACTAATAGAAGACTAAGAACAAATCCCAATCGAAATTCCGCGTGTTTGGGTATACTTTTAGTGACAGTGAATCCAAAGACAAGTGAAACAAATATCATGACAAGAACACGGGACGAGATTACACAGTCATAATACCAAGATCCATGCTGTCGCCTGCGGTATTGTGGACCAGCAAACGGTAGAATGATGGTTGATGTCAACAGCTTGCCACACACCGATTCCATGACGGAAAAGCAATATCTACAAAAAATATTAACTGCAGTTAAAATATTTGCATTGTCTGTCTGTTACGGAACTTTCCTTCTGGTTTATAATGCCAATAGAATAGAATTCTTACAATAGAATCAATACATTCCATTGTGACGTTCCGATGACAACACTATCAAAAGCGTATTAGTACTGACGTATGAAGAGTCCGAAATGTCACAGAATGAACACGCTTTTGGGTTTACTATAATCCCATGTATACATAGTTAGAAATAATGTGACGAAATGGTAAACAGATTATAGGAAAAACGTACACAAGAAGGTCTCTATTTGCTGTTGTCGATTCGGCTATACTTTATGTAACACGTGGTCATAGATGTGATTGTCTGTGATCCTAATAGTGAACTCTACTGGTTAATTTCGTTAGAATATCTCAAAGTCAGTAGCAGACATTCTAATATCCTATTGGAGAAATTAGATCATCAAGTTAAGAAATGGTAACACTTTGCAAAATGTATTTCCACGTACCTATCAAAGAAGGCAAGAAATTCATTTCACTTAATGTATTGTCTCTTTTATCCAACACACTCACTGACAAAGCACCCGGTATCATTCGGAGTTGCTTAGAGCAAGATAGGTCATGGTTAAAGAACAACAATATCAATATCCAAAACATTATGGATTTACTAGAACGTTTGCATTCTAATGCACTATCTATAAGCAACAGTATGGTACAGTCAATAGCCGCCCATAATTTCCAGAAAAAGAGGCTATATTCAGAGCCACGACTCCTAGTCTTTGCAAACGATATCTCCCTGACATTGGAAATAATCAAGAAAGGGTCACAAAAGATTTGACAGTGCATGTAAATACCGTAGATACCTACAAACACCATCAAAGTAGCCTGTGAGGAAGAAATCAATGTCACTGTCCTTCATTGTCATCCTTCTAGTAAGGAAAGATGATGGTACTACTAGAACCTCAACTTCAGATCGCACCACCCTCTTACACAATAAATCGGGCGTTGTACGCTCAACAAATGTGAAACTGATGTCATAGAGGAACAAGACTAGACGCAAGAACAAAATGACAAGCAATGAAACCTTGTGGCTACCCTAATTGGGCAGAATTTTGGGAATGTAAAGGAAAGACCGAAGGACGAAAAAGCAAGAAAAAACAAAACAAAAGGACAAATAGTCATCCCTTATATCAACGGCCTGTCAGCAAACCATTCAGGGAATTTACCATGGCCACAGTATTGCAACAGCCACGAAACTTCTTAAGGATATATCCTTGTTCATCATAAGGATAAAATATCCAAAGAGGACGTCGCAGAATTTGTATAAAAAATCGGATGTAGGAACTACGCCACAACTGGCTAGTACAACAACGGAACAATCAGGCACACTACAGTTAACACGTTCAACGTCATAGCACACAACGGAACCACCAGGTACATTACAGTTTACACACCCAACTTCATAGCACATAACGGAACCATCAGGCACACTACAACTAACATGCCCAACTTCATAGCATATAATGGAACCACCAGGAAGAGTACAGCTAACATGCCCAATTTCATATCACACTGAGGAACCACCAAGCACACTACTGCTAACACACACAACTTCATATCACACAACGGAACCACCAGGCACACTACAGCTAACACGCCCAACTTCATATCACACAACGGAACCACAAGGCACATTACAGCTAACGCGTAACACAAGGAAATATGATATTTTCCAATTGTCCTGATGGTCACCATAAAACTTCTCTGTAACCTTCATGAACCGATATATATATTAAACTGAAATAATAGTCGTATCAATAGTATAGGAGACAAAGCAAGAACATATTTAGATATTTTTGCAATATACATCGAAACACTTGGAGAATGACGACGTTTGAATGTAATTCAAACTCAAAATATATTGAAATGTGCTGTAGAAAGGCTAGTGTCTTCTGTTTCACCAGTAACACACGACATATAATCTTAGTCAATCTAAGTAATGTCATATTGTAGAATGACAGTCATGAGCAAAGTCATATCTTACCTTTTAATCTCACGACGAAGATAAATATATCCAAATTGATATTGTTGCACAGAGCAGACCTTCAATATACCCTATAGCTGTGTAACACAGTAATGCTTCGATGCACAACTGTGGAAACCCAACGATAGTTATTTTCATCCGCGTTCGTTTTGAATGACGGGGTATCAGTTATTGGTGTTACAGACAAAGAACATCCTATATTTACTTCCCGTTTAACGATGACGAAATGTCATATGATTTTCTTGTAAATATTTGAATAAAAACTCTTTACATAATAGAACATATATGCAGTTCAATGTTGACGGAGAAAATATTCCAATGATGATAAATCATAATGAATATAGAATTATGTTTAAGGTCTGTTATTTTTGTTTCTTTAATAATTACAACAACATGTTTTGGAGGTGACACCACATCGAAAGTGTGTGTGTAAAGTATCCGTAATAATGAAAAGATAGTTACCAAATTATCTCTTGTTAACTGTGTACAGGTACTTTCCTTTATAGTTTGTCAAAAGAAACATTTCGGGGATACAGAGAGTAGTTACAGCATCACAATGTATATAGCATTCGCTAGTAAACAGGGAAGTAGAGTTAATTTAAACTTGTTTAATTACAAAAAAACAAAATTATAATTTCAGATGATGAAGATAGAGATAGATACATACAAACTTACCTATACTGATATATCAGGTGTGCATGGTATCGGACACTGTATAATTGAGTCTGTCAAAGGTGAGTTTGCTGCTGATGATTCTGTCATATATGAATGTGGTAACAATGAATATGTAGATGGCACGCTCAATTGAACGTCCTTCAGATAAATACTCCAACCAACAGGTCTGTATATGTATACAAATCAAAGCATAGTTAATTCTGAATTGAGATCACCTGACATTTTGTCACATATTGATATCCCATCATATCTTTCTTTTGAACTTGTCATTGTATCTTTATTTCATTTTCTTTCTTCTCATTTTTTTTAACAATAATCTTGTTTTGTTTTTTGGTCTATCTTTTGATTTCATGAAAATTATTCTTGGTTATGGTTACATATGTACAAGTGGGGTTCTACAAACATATTCATATCGAAAAAATGCTCATTTTTATTTTATTGCATGCAATGTAATATTTATAATTGTGATCTCTTTTGATATTAGGTTTGGCGCTATCTGGTTACATTGTCCGAGATGGTCAGTGGGTCGAGATTGGACGCGGTGAACTATTAAATCCATTGGTGAGTAACGTCACCTTTTTTCTCTCATTACACCACCAACTACACGTGTCAAAATCAATCATGCATGGTAGAATATTTAAGTTGGTGAAAACGTTGACGCACTTTAACCTATGATAAAAAAATTCAGATGGTGTCGTGCTGTAAACAACCTTCTTTTCAAAGGTTAAACCGATATTTAACTTGGGTAAGTAAGATAACTCTTATACAATATGAATATTAAGTATCAAATTAAACACAGCAGGATTTCTTAGGTAATATCGTTTGAAATAGTAGGCACTTTCTAAGCATTGTTTTTCATTAGGAGATGGAAATCGTTCTCAATGTCGTTTTCATTACAAAACGTACAAATCCTCTGGAGATATCTCTTATTTATTAGTTGCATTAATTCACATATTCTTTTTGTTCCACTGTAAAGTAAACGACGAAAGGCCATGGAGTAAGAGATATCTTCACTGAAGCTTTTTGTGTTAGTCTTAATACTTGTATATTCACGAATGTTACTAAATAGTATTTTAATTTTATGTTACAATTGTGGTTACCCACAACGCACCAAAACCTTCGCGCGCACATCTGGCTTATATCACGTGCACATCCTCTGGAATGCAGTATCTAGCGCACAGCTGTGCGATAGGATTGCACAATTTCTGCGGCTTGGTAAAAATGGTTGTCTTATAGACTTATTGAAACTTAAATGGAGAACTCACGAATTTATAACTAAAAAGCGTTTTCAAATTGATCAGTGATTATAAAGGCCTCTGTTTAATTCCTCAGAGAATGGTGAGTGGTGTTCTGCGGATATATACGTGACAGTTCTTGTTCCGTACCGGCTAGGTCTTCCATGTAGTGTACATGTTTTGTTTACATAACGATACTTTTTCATACAGAGGTAGTGAAAAGATTTTAGATGATCCGTTGCAACATGACACTGCTGATAGACCTCTCCGTAACTTTCAAGCCACTCTTTCATTCATTCGAATGGTGAAACGGTTCAGATGAAATGCATGCGCCAAACTCTCTAAACTTGATTGAATTTCGGGGTTAATGCACCTTTCCATATGGAATTTTGACATTGCTTTCGTATGATTTAGATATTTTTTCAGTCGACTCATATGCTTCACGTTTTAGAAACTTATTTTAACTGACGAGTTCAAGAAGGACGGAACAGGCGTAAGGTGCAGTTCACTTCATTATTACACTATATTTCATCGAATTTTAAATATGAATTGCAAGGCACTTATCAATTATGTGTCATTTGTACAGTCTTCTTGTTTTTATTGGTATCGACAGCTAATTCTTTATGAATGTAATTAACCCGTTTTGTCACTATTCCAGACAATGTTTGACATTACAGCTCGAAAGATGCGGATTCTGCCTGGAGATATTATCCTAAGTATTGGATGTTTATATTCAAAGCTGAAAATATTTATTGAATAACCTAGCCTCATTTTCATCGTGCTTAAAAGGCAGCTAAGGCATTAGCTTAATTTATGTATCGGAAACACTATACAAGATTGTCAAATTTTTTGTTCAATAGATGTACGAGTTATATCCCTTGATTTTCTTTCAAAAAATAACTAAGAGTTATGTCCCTTGAATTAGAGGGTCATCGGTCATCTGATTGGTCAATTACTTTCGCGCGGATGCTGAGACCCCTCTCATAACGCAGCCATCTTTAAATGTATCAATACGTAGTTCAATTAGTGGAGTGGATTTGCATT